AAGGATAATATAAAACTTCGGTTTTGACAGCAGATGTCATCACAGAAGGGGACCCCTGTGTGTACTGGGACCACAGAGATGGCACCTCAGAGAGTTAAGTTTTGAAGGGCACAATGACTTAGATGGCTGGAGAGGATCTTGAGGTGTGAATGCAGAAATATAGATGAACAGCATGCTGTCTCAGAATAAGTCTATAGCTTATTGTCTTTATTATAGTCTGACTTTATTATAGTCTATTGTGGTCTGTCCCCCAAACCACAGTTTTCTTTGTATAAAACCCTCTGTCCCTTGCCTTTCTACTCATAAGCATCTTTCATTGAGGCACAGTTGTCTCTACCTGACTGTCTCACTGCTGTAGGTGACCCTGCTGGCCTGCTAATGAGGTAAAGGGACCTGGTGGAATGGAATGGGGAATTATGTGAGATTTAAACAGGGCTGGGCCCTACCCCACTTCCTGCCCCCAAAATACCCCCAGGTAGACTCACCAAGGTCTTCAGGAGCAGCAGAATTGCTCCTAAGACACAGACATACCCAGAGTACCACCACTGGAGAAGTCTAGTTTTTCGACAGCTGATGCAGCTAGGGCTCAGGGTAAGCCCCCCAACATCCCCCTGGTTGTGCACCCCACAGATGACAGCTAATAACCTATCAGGTTCCTGCCTGTTGGAGCAGCACTGCACTCTGGCTTAGCAGTCAGGCCTGGGGTTGCATCCTGGCTTGGCCACTAACCAGGTGAGTGATGATGTGTAAATTAAGCCTCATTCTGAGAAGCTGGCATTATAGTCCCCCCATGCAGTGTCTCAGGGTTGCTCTAGAAATTAAGGAAGCTCTTAGAAGGCAAAGTGCTTTCAGAAGTGTGTGCCATGATGCAGATATGAGGACCTGTCAGGGCAGAGCCACCTCCAAGATTGTGACCCACTGCCCATCACTATAGTCCTCCCTACCAAGGGTCTAAGTCCAAGGCCTCTGGAAGCCTCGAGGTCTGCATTGGGCACTGAAGCAAAGAGAAACTGGCCTGTAGAGGCTGCAGCTCTTAGCAACTTGGGCCCAAAAGGAGCCATAACCTGGGGTTCTGTACTGGCAGGGGGTTGCTTTGGACAGAGTACCTGCCAGTGCTCCTGGGGCTTCCCACCCCAGCTTGTGAGCCTTCTAGGGTCTCTGCCCATCAGCCCCACTCAGCACCCAGGGAAGGCAGGGCTGTGCAGCACCAACTGCCTGTGACCCTGTAGGCCGCCCCTTCCTTCTGGGTAACCAGGCCCTGAACTGGATAGAAAGCTGCTCTTTCCAAAGCACTTTCCTTCCGAACTTCTGAGAGGATAGAAAGTGGATTTTGCCATTTTCCACTTAGGCGGGCCTTGTGATTTTGCCTCCTGCATGCTGCCATCACTGAGGTCCCACACCTCAAGTACCGGTGGCAGAACTAGTACAGAGTGGGCTTTCTGGCACTTGCCATTCTGCCTAGCAGAAGTCCTTGTCCACAGGCCGACAAGCACTGCCACCATTCCCCAGGGCTTTCTGTGGCCAAGGCCATGTGCAACTGGCAGGCCCCACCATTACCTGGCTCTGGGGAAAGATCTCCAGTTGCACCTGAACCTTCTCTGGAGCCTCTAATCAGTGCCCTCCACACCCCCCACAACCTCCCCAAATCAAGGGCAAAACAGCAGAATGAGCATTTTCCCAGCAACCCCTCCCCAGTCAGTGAGCTACAGGCAAGCTTGCCTCCCCTAGCCTCACAGCTCTGGTCCTAGGGCTCTGTGAGTGAGGCCCCTCACTCCTGTCCTGTGTGACTTTTGGTTAAATGAATCAACCTCTCTGCCCTGGTCTGCCTTATCAGCAAGTGAGGCTGTAGGGACTGCCCTTCCTCACAGATGGTTCTGAGGCCCAGTTAATTAATGCTTCGGATGCACTTTGATCTGCTCTGATGAAAGGTGCTTCCGAAGAGGGAAGCAATAGGAGACTTTATTGGAGGTAATAATTTCACACCCTTTCATATGGGTATTGGGAAATTTTTAATTGAAGCATAAAAGTAATTCCCATAAAAGAGCATCTGTTATTACAAACTTATTTACATTTTTCATGGAGTAAAACGTAGGAGTAAAAATAATCAATTGAAAGCTTTAAGGGGGGGGAAATGCCGAAGGCAGCACATGTGCACAGCTACCTAGGCCACATCTGCCAGGCAGACCTCACCCCACAGAGCTGTGTAAACAGCTGCCCTCTTTCATGAGTGAAAAAATGGGATTACACCAGAGCCAGCCAGTAAATCACAGTGGGTTTTAGGAGGGGAAATAAAACAGCTTGTTTGTTGCATCCAGTGTCTCTGGCATTCTGAAAGTTATGTCAGAATTAGAACAGTATAAATGCAAGCATGTAGGGAAACAGCCATTGATAAAGGATCACTCTCTTAGCTGAGGCACAGCCTACGTGGAAGATGACCACAACCACACCTGTGTGATGGCTCCCTCCAGCCTGTCTGCTTTGCTGGGGGCAGGTGAGACCCTGGCATCTGGATATCATGTCCTCAGTCATTCTGGTCATGATAGTTATGGATACCCCACTTCCTCAGCTCTGACATTAGGGGTGACCCCTCTCCAGAGGGGTAGTACATAGAGAATACTAGTTAGGGGCTTTGATTAAACTTTCCTTAGATTTATGAGCTTAAAAGGAAAAGCTGATTTATTTTTTTCAAGCTATCTATTTATGGGTATGTGTTGAGCCCCAGGCACTGTGCTAAACCCTTTATCTGCATTATCTCACAGCAGCCCTACAAGGTGAGCGCTATTACTAATTCCTTTCAAGGGCAAAGAAACAAGCATAGAAGGGGGTTTAGTAACTCATCTGAGGTCACTCAACTTGTACGTGGTAGAGCCAGAATTTGATCAGAAGCCCTGGGCTTCAGAACTGTTAGGTTCATGGAACCCCTGCCTCCTTTGGTCAGCCAGACCCCAGCTCCCACCTCCTCTCATCCCACCACAGGGCTGCCCCGTGCCTACGTACTCTGTGCATAAAACACTACCTGGAAACTCCCTGACCAGGTATAGCCATCAGCCTCTCTATGCTCCTAAGTGTTGGCCTCAGGGGAGAGATAAAAGGACAGAAACTCAAAGACCTTTGAATAGGGGATAATTTTTCATTTACCCAAACCTGGGGGCCTGGAGTGAGAGGCCACTTTGGGGTGGCCCTAGCCCCTCCTTAGCTGGCAGGGGGCACAGCTCAGGGGAGTGGTGGGCCCATCACCATTGATTCTGAATGTTCTCCCTCATATACCATTGCCGTCAGCTCAGGATCCTGATGGCTTAGTCTTTTGGATCAAAGTAGCCTACAGCTGGGGCAACTTCAAACAACCAGGCAATTACTCAAAAATGGTTAAGGCCTAAGAGCAGTCCACAGCACAGTGTGAGGAAACCTAATCTTAGCAGAAGAGTGTCTATATCCTGAGTGACAGACATTTTCCCCAACCCTACCCACCAAGAATACCAGAATCCACCTCTACTCCTCCCCAGCCACCAAGGGCAAGCTCCCAGTCTATCTGCTCCAGAAAGTCTCCCTGGGCTCCCAAGATACAGCTCTCCCTCTGACTCTGAGGTCCCTCATGAGCTCCTAGCCTGGCCCCAGCACTAGAGGGTGAGCTCGCTGAGAGCAGGGGTGCTTGCTGAAGCCCCACGCAAGGAGAGGGCTGAGCAGAGCTGGTATGTGGTCCTTGGTGGACCTAGAGTCTCTACATGTCTGGATGGGACCGTCGGACAAGCATCCAATGTGTGTGCCCCCAGCCATCACTAAGCAGGCTGACCCAAGGGGGCATCTTGCACTGGCCCTGGGAAACAGGTCCAGGACTCTTGGGAAAGGCAAAGGCTTTTACAGAGACAACTGGAGTGACTTTAGGGGAAGCTCAGATGTCTCTTTAGTCCACTCAAGGTCCCACGTCTATCGTGTAGAAAACACTTCACTCCAGAGACACTTAAGGAACATGCCATAAACACAACGCACAGGTCAGGTCAGGGGCTGAAGAGAGGGGAAACGACATGCAAAGCACCCATCTCCCAGGCGGGGCTGATGGTGGCCGCAGCACTGGCAGCCTTATCACCACCACCATTATCATCATTGCATAGACCCCTGAAATACCTCATTTCCAGTGGAGGAAACTGTGCTTAGAGGGGTTAACACCCAGCCCAAAGCAGCTGGGATTCAAGCCTGATTCTGACTCTAGAGTGGAAGTCCTTCACCCATCTTGCTCTGTGGCAGCTGGAGGGCAGAGTGGCTGTCACAGGGGCCAGGCCAGGCAGAAATGGCTATTCAGAGTGGCCGTGGTTATGCAGGTAGCAAGTGAACCCAGCTGAGAAGCCAAAGATGTGGCGCCAGGGGGCATCGGTGCTCTGAAAGTGGTCAGCACTGCACTGGGGAGCCTCTGTGTAGCCCCTGCTGTTGCAGGCCCACAGTCACAGCCAGCAGCTCTCTGGGGTCTGAGGCCAACATTGTTAGCACAGACTGCAAGGACAACAGCAGTCACCAAGTCAGAGCTATCCCAGGGATGAGGTTGGAGGAGGCAGTTTTCCACTGCATGAGCCTTTTAAAAGACCCTTCAAGGCCACCTACTTTATAGACAGCTCCTCTTAACTGAAGACTCTCTGTGCCATACCCTGGTGTTTACTGTGCATCTTCTTGTCCCGTACTCTGACTCCATTTCGCTGGATGGGGAAACAAGGCACTGAAGCGGGACAACAACTCAAATCCCGTGTGACCCCAGGAAATCCTGAGCTCTTAACCACTCTCTCTACCCTGGAGGGAGTAGGGCCGTCAGTCTACCCGTGCCTCAGAGGCAGAGCTGGGACTGACCTGCCCCAGCTGCTGCATGTGCCACCACTGCCTGTGTCTGGAGGCTGCAGGGCTATGTGTGGAGTGCTCTTGCTAGGGCATCCACTTACACATTCCATTTTGCTACAGGCATTCTCTGGCAGCAAGACATTTTGAGGCCCACCAGAAAATGTTGGGAAAGCCATTACCTCCACCATTCCTTCCTGGCAGCCTGCACAGTCCAGAGCAGCCACAGTCCCATGGCATGGTTTCTTCCTTAGGCTGTGGCTTCCTAGGACAGAGGGAGGGATTTGTCAACAGAGGTTTTTCCTGGAAACAAATCCAGATTCATGTTCACCCACCAGCAACCCTGAAATGCTTGCAAGTTCCAGTGGAACTGCCTGCTCTCTCTTTACAGGAGGGTAGGCAGGTGGGGACACTGCAGGTCTAAAACTTGATACTGACCCTTCTCCCACATTTGCAGAGCCTCAACCTCTGGGTCCACCCTGCCAGCTTAGATCATAAAGTCCATGCTGGCTATTTGTAGAACAGCAGTTGTCACAGAGTGGTCTCTAGACCTGCTGAATCAAACTCTTGTGTTTTGACAAGCCCTCCAGAATTCTGATGCAGGCTACAGTTTTAGAACTGATGACGTAGAGGAATAGGAAAGAACACTTTCTGAGTGAAAGTCACATACCCTTTTGCAAGCGTCCAAAGCAGAGGCAGGGAAGGCCCCAGGATGGGTCTGTCAGAAAGCACTGGTAACAGGTGGGAGTTACTGGCACACTTTTGGTGTTCCATGGAGACCCCTTGGGACCTCCCAGTCGGCATGGCATGGGCATGGGCCAGGCCATGCTCTGCCTGCATCAAACTGCATCCCACCCAGCTTGTGTAGCCAAGCGTTAGAGACAGTTGCCTGGGCAGGCAGCCTGGCTGCAGCTACAGAAGCCCTGCCCTGGGGCTAGCTCAGCTAGGCAGACCATCAGGCCACATGACAGCTGCTATTTGCAGCATTTCATAGGCCCTCACCACAGCCCAGCTCCCTGTGCAGGTGTGAGGCTGAGACAGGCAGGAGGGCACCTCACTGTGGGGAGCTTGGAACTGGAAGAGCATGTTCTTGGACTTCACATCCAGAAAGCAACTTCTCACAGCTTCTCTCAGCCCCCATTCATCTAGGTCACATCCACAGACTGTCTCTGCCTGCTCCAGAAGCCCTTGTAGTTCCCTTGACCAAGTACAGGCTACAACAGGACCAAGGAACCCAGCGCAAGCTGGAAGCAGCATGAGCTGCTGGAAAGATGCCCCAAAAAATGGAAGATTGAGTTTCTCTCTCCAAGCAATTCCCAACAGAGCTCATTCCAGAAACCTGTCCTCGGTCCTCCTTGACTCCTGTGAATATAGTCAAAGCAGCTGTGCCTGAGATTTCACATCTGCAAACGGCACTGGTGCCAGAGGAATGACCTGCCCACTCTTAGCAGAGCCCTTTTTCTTCCCTATCCATGCCACACTCCATCCTGGCCCACCTATTGGTCTAGAATCACCAGGGTCTCCTGGGAGGAAGCTGTGTAGGTCTACCACCACGGAGATGCCCACCGTACGCATCTGGAAACCCCTCTACCTGGCAGCAGGTGCCCCACGTGAGGAAGAGCTCCAGCTGAAATAGGCAGGCTGGCCCAGTGCTTTGGACACCAGCACGCCCTCAGGCTCAGGCAGATTGATGACTATAGATCTTCCAGTGAACAAAGAGCTACCCATGAGAGCTGGCCCCATACTCACCCTCAGTATCCTTAACTATAAAATGGGACCAGTAAGGGATGTGAATCCAGGGCCACTGGCTCTAAACCTGGGTTTTCACTAGACTATATGTGGGTCACCCACATGCCATGCTGACCAGGAGCAGCCTCGGGCACACCACAGAACAGTGAGGGCCACTGTTGCCAGTCCTGACTTCACCTATTGGTGAAATCTATTGGCCAGGATATTTTTAAGTCCAGAGCACCTACCTTCAAAAATTGCCACATGATGTTGACTTGAAGTGGAAATGTATGTGGATTCAAATACATTTGGCCTGGAAACTTGGATGGTAGCCCTGAGTAGAACAGCTCACAGTTCCCTGCATTCTGGACTCTGGGGTGGTACTGCTGGTATGTGTTGGAGGGTGGATTCCTGAGCAGTGGCTCCTGGTGTGAAGGGGTAACTCTTCTGTGTGGGTGGGCAGAGGTCAGTGCCTTCCTAGAGAACCTGCAGCCATCCCCTGGAGCTGACATCGAGGGCCTGGGCTGTGGCTCAGGCACTGTGCTAGTGGCAGGGATGATGGAAAAAGAAATTCGGGAGCTCACACTGCACTTCAGGGCCTTAATGCACACCACAAAACACTATTGTGTGTGCTGGCTGCTGCATTCTCTAGAAGCATATTGCACATCCTTCTGTAGGTGCCAGCTCTTCGCCCAGTTTTCTGGGCACTGGGCTTTCCCATACTGGTGTCCAAGCAGACATGGGGTTCAACACACACCAACCCAACCCAAGGCAAGCTGCAGCACGGAGGGAGGTGGCCTCGTAGGGCGGGGCAGGTCCTGTGTCCCCGGTTGCATCCCAGTTGCTGAGCGCTTGTCTTCTCTCCTACAGGAACGGTTTTCCAAAGCAGACAGCAGCGCAGCTGATTCTGAAGGCCATCTCCAGTTACTTTGTGTCCACAATGTCCTCTTCCATCAAAACGGTGTACTTCGTGCTTTTTGACAGCGAGAGTATAGGAATCTATGTGCAGGAAATGGCCAAGCTGGACGCCAACTAGGCTGAGCAATGACAGAACCAGCTGCACCATGTACCCCACCTCCAATTTAAATGAAAAAAAGAAAAATCCCCTTCACTCCTACTGGGAGGTGGGAACCCTTTCATTTTCAATTTTGCGCATCTAGGGAAAATAAGGCTTTGGTTTCCAGTTTAATTGTTTTTGACCTTCTAAAATGTTTTTATGTTAGCACTGATAGTTGGCATTACTGTTAAGCACTGTGTTCCAGACCATGTCTGACTTAGTGTAACCTAGGAGATTTTCTAGTTTTATTTTAACGAAACCCTGATTGGTGCACAGCAGCGAGGAGAACAGCGCCTTTTACCTGTCACCGAACCCAGGACGCCCCGTTTGTGACCGTGTGTTGTGGTGCTTTCTCGTACACCCAGTGGCGTTCTTTTTTTACTCTAATGTTCTTTATTTTTTTTTTTTCCTCAGAAGAATCATGAATTTGCAACAAACCTAATTTTTGGTTACTTTTTGTCTTAATGATGGATTTGAAAATGAAAGATTTAAAAGGAAAAGCAGAATCTGTTGTCCTTAATTATATTTGCAATTTGGAATTTGTGTGAGTTGATTTAGTAAAATGTTAAACTGTTGTTGTGACTGGTGTGTTTCAGTTACTGTGCCCATGAGTCGTGGGTCCAGAGTCGGCCTCTGCAGTCACAGGATGCGCAGGCAGGGCGGTCCACCCCCCTCAAACCCTACCCCGCCCCCACAACTCCTTGGACGCTCCACGGTTTCAGTGCAGCCTGGGCTGGTGTGGGCCATCTGCTGGCTCTAGTGGTTTGTCGGAAGAATTCTTATAAATTCTTTCCTTTTGGTTGTGTGTGACCCTTGGGCCGGGGTGTTATCCTCATTCCACAGATGAAGGAGGGAGTGTATCAAAAGCCGTGCGGGTGGCATGTGGCCGGCTGGTGCAGAGCCAGGGCTCCAGACCCTGAGCCCAGCTCTCTCCTACCATTGTCCCCTTCTGACAGTCTCTGGCTCAGGGCTGGGCTTAGCCACTTGCTAATGGAGCTGCTGGAGCCTCATGCCCTCTGCCGAGGCTGCTGGGTCTGTCATCCCTGTAGGACAGGATCCCTGGCAGAAGGGTGCCAGGAGCTTTTCAAGGACGAGCTACCATGGCCAAGGCTCCTGGGATTTGCTAGCTGCTGTCACATGCCTTCTCAGCCCCAGGCTATTGAGGGATGTTGATTATTTAGGAAGACCTCAGCCAAGCCAGAGTAGCTAAAATACGTTAGCAAAACATGCACACTTTTTGCTTCAAAGGGCACTTATACCTTAACCTAAATTTGCCTAAAATACACAGAAGACTCTTTCCATCTCTTTAAAAAAAAAAAAAAAAAAAAAAAGAAAGAAAGAAACATGCCTGCTTCTAAAGCAGATTTTAACCAGGAAGAAATATGCAGTACACTTCATATCATGGAAGACTGTCAAGTATCACTTTTCCTTCCCAAACTGTACCTAATACAAACTCTTCAAAACAGAAGGTCCTAGACCATTACACAACCAATCTTTTCCATGAAAAGGCAACGACTTCCAGCTCAAACCTGAAAGATGATTTTTCCAAATTTCATCTGAACATAAGGGGCTATGTTAACGTTTATTTTCCAAGATCTTTGCTGGGTCTAGATTATGTATTCCTACTTCTTGATTAGCATTTGAAATGAGAGAGAGCAGTGGGGAGGGGGAAACTGCATTTTTTTTTTAAGAAGATGCATCTTAAAATGATTCCACTGCATATTTAATAACAGTAAACTGCTTAGACAAACCATACTATGCAGCCCTCCACCCGAGAGCATTATTTCTGCAGGTAGGATCTGCAGTGTGGATGGAGGGTAATGAAAAGTTGTAGCTACTGTTAGCTTATCAGACTGATATTTACTGTATGTCAGGTACTATGCTGAGTCCTTCATGGGCATCATTTCATCTGGTCATTGCAATAACCCTATAGGGCAGTTCCTATTATTAAATACATTTTATAGCTGGGAGGAGAGCACACTTGGTGAAAAGTGACAACCAGATTCAAATGCAGAGTTTCTGACTACTGTGATATAGGGTTCCTGGTGGCACGCTCTTATCAGCAGTCAGAGAGAGTCCATTCGGCCTTCGTGGTATTTCTAACTCAGACACTGAAACACAGAGGGACTTTTACATGGACACAGGGTTTAAATGACTTCTTGATTAATTGGATGGGCTTAACTTTAGAGGAACACCATAGAGGCAAATGTGTTTTTCAAAGATCCTCCACTAGATGTCACTAAAAGGATTGAGAACTACAGAAAAGGGTTGCGGATGTCTGCTCTCCTTGTGATTGCACGAAAGAAACAACTGCATTTATCCATGTTTGCATGAATGATTTACCGTGATCACCTAAATGTTTCTAAACTTTGAATAATCCAAAGTGCATCATGCCCTGTGATGTGTGTACACTGAAGAAATTCTTTTCAATGAAACTGAGGGGAAGTGAGCCAATAAGCTGCCTGGGGTTTCCACCATTTCTAAGCCACTCAGTTCATTTTTAAAACTGAGATCAAAAACTGTTCTCTGATGTCAGCCTCATGCTTTAAGGGGGGAAAAAAGCTCATTACTTTTAAAAAATTGG